ACGGCCACGTGATCTGGAGCCGATTATATGCCGCCAATGTTGATCATAGCCACGCGCTGGGGTTGGCAACGCACAGGACACTTGCTGAGTTCCAGACATTGTTATGGCTCGGCTATTGTCGTCGTTGCAGCGATTGGACACGAGCCACTACCCGAATGCATGTCGAGGCATCGATTATCACGAGCCCAGATTGAATGCGTACGCAGTCTTCGCGTCCACTGTGTGAGCAGCATTTGAATATCGTCACAGTTAGGATCGCAAAGCTCGATGACGCATTCCCTGGGATCGTACTGGTGCCATTATCCCCACAGCTCCGTCATCAAATTTCGCGAAGCAGCAAAAGGCGGCTTTGGAAGGAGAGACTGAAAGAAACTTTCATCCTTTGAATTCCGCCGTGACGACGAAAACGCTTCTTCGTCAGTGGTGTTGCGTTTGAGTATCCTTGGGTTCCACCAGTGCCAGGAAGCTGGTGTAAAGTAAGAATTATTCCTACCCAATGTCGTTGCACAGCCCCTTTAAAATGTAGTACGTGGTGACAGTGCGCACTTCAGGACGTACAATTACAGCAAAAGCAGGTGACATCGGAACGCGCATAAACACTGTCACGTCTACTCGCAATGAAGCCTCCCGAGGTCCTTCTGGAGCATGCAAAGTGCGCAACAGAGATGTAAATGAAAGGGCTTGGGTGAATGTGAGCCCGAACGCATCCCCGACCGAATCCGTAAGAAGAGCCAGAACGTTGAAAGAAAGTCTTCGTCACCGCGAAAGAAGCACAGTAATTTCCTTCGTCGCTAAAAAAAACGAAAACAAAGAAGAGCCATATCCACGCCACTAAGGTCAAATCTCCCGCTATTTTAGAGCCCCACGTGCGACCAAGGGAAATTGGAAACTCGGTAGGATTAGGAAGGATAAGCACAGGGCGAGGCCGTGAGGACCACAACGTTTGCCACACCTCGCAATGTTATGATTTTAACCGTGTAAATACGTGAAACTGGTCACGCGAATGACGTGTCGCAAAAAGGTTCCTTCATTTTTCGAGAGTTCAACTCAGAAGTGGTAAAATACTGAGAATGGTGCAAAAACTCCGGCATTGGTTTTCCCATGCCCTACACCGGACATTCGCCGTCTTCAAACTGGTTTGCGAACCTGCCCCCAGGCGGTCATGGTTCATATGTTTCGCTAATATTATTACTTATCGCGACTAACCTGCCCGTCGCCAGCCCTTATGTATTATGGCGGTCTCAGGTTTTGTTTTTCTCCGTTCAGTGAGCCATCTTGGAGCGAGCACGCAAACCAGTGAGCAGAGAGCGAGCAGAGAGCGAGCAGACTGGTATTGGACGTAGGAAATGCACGGCCGCCATTTTCGCTTCATTTTTGATACTTCACCACCTCTGAGTTGAACTCGAAATAATTAGGCATAAAACTTCTTGCAAAACTACAATCGCGTGCCCAATGGCATGTATGTACCGTGGCTACACTCTAAAAAAAAGTGAGCACCCCCCCGTCGTTATCATGCGTTTTGACGGCTGTAACGACCCCACAGGCTAACTTAACGACCCACTGGGCTCGAGCCATTGAGCCTTACTACCCTGTTGGCAGGTGACAAGCATGGGGTTGTCACGTTTTATAAACTCTTGAATTGAACATTCAAGTGCATGCAGTCATCCAATAGTAAAAGTCACTTAAAAAATCTCAAAAAGTACTTGAAACTTGTTTTCTTTGTGCCGTTGGTCACCACTTATTCAATTTTGAACCGGTCGAAACAGGCGTGTGGCTCAGTTCGCCTAAACTGGCAGAAAACAAACAAGTACAGGCAACCTTGGTAGGCACCTAATAAAACACGAGACAGATAAAAAGTTTCGCGGTTGTCCTTCTTGCTTCCGTCGCGGGTTTTACCCAACGCTTGTTTTGTCAGTGGTTTTACGGTTTTAGCAGTTTTACCGTGTACTACAACAGAAAACAGCTGGCAGCTGGCGTCGTGCTCAAGGAATTTAGCCAAACATCTAGCATAGCACGGGAAGCTATGCAAGGGCGTGAGTTGACCTGAATGTTCGCCGGAACGAGGTAAGGATACTCTTGTCGTCTTTTATTGTGCGGTTCAGTAAAGAGCGTCTTCTCATTAAACGTGTGCTCGGTCAGTTCTGCGTGCAGATAAGTTGCAAATGGCCTCCTCGGTTTTGCCGAACTTCCACGCCTGTCATACCCATTATTTGTGCCTTCAAGTGCAGTGAAGTATGAAGCATTGAACACCACGACTGAGGCCGGACAGGACGAACGTACACAAATATCTGGGATCATGTCCGTGTATTTCAGTATTTCTCTGTCTCGGGATATAGGATTCGCCTCCACTGGCTCATTTGGCACATTTCATCGAGCACATTTGATATGTGCTCAGAGTTTTGGGACGCTTGCACGACAGACAACATCCCAGCATGAATGTTCTTTCAACCGGTCGTACGTTCAAGAGGTCGTACGAGAAACTCCCAAATGTCTGCCCCGCACATTAATCGAATTTCTCGAGGAGGTTCCATTGAGAAGAGTACCCTATGTCAAGCACCTCGACCGAAAAGGATGACCCAAATGCTCACGCCATTTGGGTCACCCTTTTCGGACGGCCCGTGTGTCACTGGGGAGCGTCTTAAGCCAGCCCCCCGCCTGCGTTCACGCCGCTTCGTGGCGACAGTGTGCGGCTAGTAATTACAAAACTATTAACCCACTTGATCAGCAGATTGTACAGGCACTGTAGGCAAAGGGAGTTTCCCACCGCAGGTTAGCGCAATTGTTTATACTGCAGTGCTCGTCTCATTTCAAATGTGGACAGCATACCTCGAAAGGAACCATTTACTTTGCCATGTAACACTAATACAATAAGCATTTTTACAGGCTCTGAATGGGCACTGGCTGTTTAAAATAATACGTCATAACGAAGACACACGTGTCCACCATGGTACAGGTCCAAGTGCTGATATGAGGCCTCCAGTTCAGGACCTCATTTTGAGAGTTGAAGCACCCCTGCTTTGGTCACCTCAGAGGCACAGATGTGTTGGTGAAAACAGTTTGTAGCAAGTCTCTCAAGCAGTAGGAAAGCATCATTCTTTGAGACATAAATGTTCCGTACCTGTGCAAACTGGGGGACTTCTCCGGTAGCTACCACCAGAATGTCTTCTACCCTGTAGTCTCCGGCGTCTAATACACGCTTTTTGCTTCCAAGAGGTCCGCTTTGCACTCCAAGCTTTGGGCAGCAGCTGGAAAGCTAGCTTTGTAAACAGCTCGGGCACACAGCACTCTCGGGCATAGAGGGAACTTGAGAGAGTTCATTTCGTAGCTCTGCAGGAGTTGGTGCCGAGTAGCAAGGGTTTTGCAAATGTTGATGAATTTTTTTACTTTTGAAGCCATGGACTTAAAGTACTGGTGCTTCACCTCGAAACGAAGGCACCAGTACTGGCGCAGTGGTCCAAGGGCCGCAGTCAGTCTTCCATAGCGCACCATGTAGTGCATCTTTGGGAGGAATTTAGCCAAATCATGAACTCTCAATTTGCCCTTTTTTATGTTTGTGTGTCTGCGCACCAATCATGTTCGACAAGGCTGGCATTGATATGTCCGCATAAAGGATAAAATCGATTTCTTGGCAATAAAGTGAGAATCACCAGCACTGCGGATCTAGGTAAAAACATTTGGATGGTGGAAAGGCCCTGTACAAGCAAACAATCAGTACAATTATGAAGAACAAGGGAATCGAACAGAAGAATGTCTCTGGTGACATCTGAGGAAAACACTTGCGACTCTGGGAGGCTAGCTACCTGGCCGTGTGTTGCGATGGTCCCTTTGTTGTGACTGTGAGGCGCATTCGCGCTGAGCTTTCCTGTAAATGGATTGCTCATGATAAAGCGTGCTGAAGAGCTTGCTGTTATTTTTGGCCTTGGCCTTGTCAATTTCAGGGAGGGCTGAGTTGGTCTGTTTAAAATCCGACACAATGTAGTCTTTATGCAAATCTACGGAAGAGCTGTTGTCGTTAACGAAGGCGTCGTCTCCGAGTAGAAGATAAAGTAGTTGCCTTAAATCCTGGCCAGATACGAAGATAGAAACATAATCAGTGAGTACGAAGATGGATCGTTTACACAGCTAAACCAAGTAAAATGTACACTCCTGCATATAGTCAACATCCAGTGAAAAGTTACTGCATGTTCACTCAGACAATCCCAGCAGCCTCTTATCACACTGTTCTCTCTGAAAGATTTGCAAATAATGCTTCAGGAAGTTGCGCACTAAGAAATTATTCATTTCTGCTCCTCCCCGTTTTGGATACAGCATAGTTTGGATACAAGGGGGGATGTTTTGCGCTAGGTCATGTTAGTCCGTTGTAATGAATTTTGTCTATGACCAACTATACTCCATTTCATACTTAAGCTACAATGTTGCCAAGGCTAGTAGCACGAGAGCTTGACTTTGTCTAGCGTCTCATTTGCATGTGGTCGCATGCAAATGAGGTACTAGACAAAGCCATGTGCTTGCACAACTAGCCATGGCAGCATTCTAGTTTAACTATGAAACGAAGTATAGTAGCAGTCATGTTCCGCGTCTGTTGAGGTCTTCACTTCCCAACCTGATGTGTTAGCTGCCACTAGCTGTAGCATTTTCTTGAACCATGACAAGTTATATCACAATGCCCTTGCTGTACAGCTCAATGGCTGGTTGATTATGGAGGCTGTGAACATGATTACCTTCACAGTAATATACGGTTCGCATTGTTATTAGGATTCTTACGCTATTTATACATTTAGGTAGAATGATCCAAAAATATTTCAGTGGGAGACATCAATTCCTAATCATTTCGTTTCACGCCTTATAGAAGGCTAGTATAGTCACAACTTGTCTACATATGCCAGCAACTCGGCAGTAATGTAAGTTTCGGCCTCAAACAGCGAATTATGATTAATGTTAATGTGCAGCTGAGGAAACTATTATGCAGAACTCCAAACATTGCAAGAAGTCAAAGCTAGATGGTTAAAATAATGGTACTAAAATATATCATTTAGGTAACGCACGTTGTATCTCCGAGAGCAAAAAAAGCGTGAATAGCCTTAATTGTCATGCTATGTTATTGGACAAAAATCTTTATGAAGGTTTTTGTTATGATTTTGACATATTTTAAATAAGTTGAGCAAAGTTTATTATTACAGATTCAGCAGGAGTTCCGACGCCAGACAGGGAGAGATGCCCAGGAGGGTCTCACAGCCTTCCTTGAGAGAAGTATCAAGGCACTCTATGAGCTTTTCCGTATGAAGTCATCATCAAAACAAAAGGCAAAACAAATATTGGAAGCCGCCGAGAACTGCCCGGAAGAAGGCAAAAGTAAGTAGCTGAAGAAAAGTGCTATACCTCTGTATTAATTTTGTTTACAGGCAGAAATATTTTCTACCCTTCCTTATTTGCCTCTGTGTGCCAACAGAAAAAGCTGTTGTGATGCTGCTTACATTATAGCTAGGGCTCTGTGTTTTCGGATAAATCCGAAAACCTCTGAAAAACACCCGCCGGTAAAATTTTGGTCATTTCGGATTTATCCGATAAACTCCAAATGTTTATGTGCCCATGCCACCTCCCCCCCCGCAAAAAAAAAATTATACAAAAAAGAAGTGAAATACATTTTTTTTTTTTTTTACAATTTGATCAGCACATAGTTAATGGTCCTGAGAAACTGGCACGATAATTATCTTTCAAATCTCAGACCGTTGTCAAAAGGGGTCTTGCCGCTTCTTTCGTCGAGGTTGATTCAGGGCAGCAGGTCATCGTACATTCGGGTCACGACAAAACCCAATCTTTTGGTTTCCATTTTGAGCCAAGCGATTTGTGACTTAGAGAAAGCAGAAGGTATGCTTTTCTAACAGTGAAAGCTATGCACCATAGAGATTATATTAAATAGAGAAACGGGACAGTTGAAACTTTATATTACCTCCTTAACCACTCCACCTCGCGCGGCCGCAGGCTAGATTGATGGAATAAGATGGGATGACTACAAGCTTCGTAGTGACTGCCCCCGGGAGTTTATTGGTTTTTAAGGTATTGAAGTCTATCGAAGCAACACTTTTGTAGTGGGACAAATTAATATTGCCAATGGCAATGGCACGAACGTCAAATTCGTCTGAAGCAATTTTAATCGGTACAAGCACGTGTTATTGTTTATCTGGCATACGTTTACATCCGGTTATTATTTACATGTTTTTGTTGAATAGGAAACACTGCGAAATTAAACTCCGAATTTCGGAGAACTGGGAATCAACCAAATATAAACTCCGATAAACTCCAAATCTTCGGCAAAAAATAAGCTCCGAAAAACACCCTCCGAATTTGAAGAAAATAAACTCCGAAAACACGGAGCCCTAATTATAGCTTATGGCTCGAGCAGAACTTTTTCAGCATTGGGGTGTATTTAAGCGCAGCTTGGGACCTATGCATTCTGGAAACAGTGCCATCTTTGTGTCCGCGAAACCAGACAACTGTGCTTGTACAGCCCCCCTGCCCAGTGATTCTTGCATGCAACACCACGCACAAGTGACAGCGACGGATGATATATGCAGTTGCGGTGGTGCGGTGCATTGTATAGTCTAGGCAATGTTACGATGCTGTATATGGCACGGGTTTCTCCATTGCTGGGCCCCTATGGTGGACAGTGGAAAAGAATGCGCAGGCTATGAGGAGAAGGTGGAAATCTGCGGCGTGGATCCGTTCGCTCTATGGCTTTATTTGTTGAATTACTGACATCTCGGATTACCTCCTGAAGACAAATTTTGTCACGCTCAACCGAGTATTTTAAGGGGTCCAGGAGCCGTTGATGAAACCAGCGAGTGCAGAGAGAGCGATTGTCGTCTCACAGGTGAGGTAGACTTAAGATATTCGCGTAATTCTGGAGCACGTCTGCACCTTTGCTTGATTCACTTTTGGAAGACTAATCATATCCTTAAGAACTGTGCAGCACGCTGTAAAGTGATACTGTGAATTGTTGGCGCCATGCGAGCAACACGAGGTTGGAGTACGGGCTGTTGCTTGTCACTGGCAAGCAACAGCGCCCGAAAGCTTTGAGGTTGCTGCGACTCAAAAGACAAAAACATGCTCAAGAATGGTATAATTTCTTTCAAGGCCGACTTTCCGCCTCCTCCGGTAGGAAGCTTACGTTTGGGTCTTCTCTTGAGAGTCCTTTATAGCGGCTGAACTTGACCAGCACGATAGACCTAGCCCTCTTGAGATGTCGACATGTCAAAAGAAATAATGTCTGCCAAAAACAAGAAGTGCCACAGACGTACTTGAAAACAAGTGCCGCGAATTCAGTCTACTTTGCCAGATCAAAGAATTATTAAACTTGTAAAAGTAAATATTCGTAGATCTACCTTACCTGCGAGACGACGATCGCTCTTTCCGCAATTACTGCTGTCATCGACAGTGCCTGAACCCATTAGCCTGTAGTTACCGGCATTTAAGACCTCCTTGCACATAACAAAACTTGTTGTTAACATCAAGTACAGTGCTATCCACTTAAGATACGACTAGACTGGAAATGATCAGTTTCTCATTATCGTTAGAAGTGGGTTGCTTTGTAGTCCTGGATGTCAGTCATTTCCACCCGCGTCTGCCACCCGCTGTCTTGGATGAGGCCATTTGGCGACAGATCGATGGGATCCACGCTGCAGATTTCCATCTTCTCGTAGTGTACATGTTCCTGTTGGCTGTCTGCAATAAGGACCCAACGGTGGAAAACTACCTTCCGAAGACAACATCATAATGTTGCCGCAACTATCCACTGCACTGTAACAACGCAACTGCGTAAAGCGTCCGTCGTTTCTGCATGGTGTCGGCAGAGAAATCGCCGGGCAGTGCGGGTGTAGCGGTGTGGTTGTCTTCTCTCGCGGACACAAAGGCGGCACTGTTCCCAAAATACACTGCTCCTAAGACTCGCGTGAATACATACTATAGGTTGGCATGCTAAAGCTAAAACGAAGTAGTGTAGTGAATACCTGGTAAAGGTTCTAGATAGTATATTGTGATTGTATAACCATGGCAACATTTGATTGCAAAACATTATTTTCCAAGATGTCATTTTTCTTTTTCTTTTTTCTCCAGCTCTCCTTGCCAACGGTGCCCTGATCTTGTTGCCATGCCTGCTGAAGGAAAGAAGCAACAACCTCGTGAAGAGTCTAGTATGAATTGCTCGGCATGCCTATTTAAATCGAAATAGATATTTATTATTAGAGAGAAAAGCCCATCAGGATATTAGCATTAAATGGCTAGGAAAGTGGAAAGTGATAAAACTTGTTCATTAATTTAAAATCGTAACAAAAGGGTTCAGATGTATATAATGTACAGAGTACGACATTTTGTGAATGAGTGATGCGCCAATATTTTCTCTTTTTCTTACAGAACAGGAAAGCTGTAATCAGAACAATTACTGTGGTGAAAAGTGATAATGAATGCAAAATTTATCGTCAGCTTAAATGAGAATAAGGTGCATAACAGGGGTGCTGTTGTGCTTGCAGCAATAGACCTTTTCCACATACCGACGGCACCAGGCGGTGGCTGCACGAACTAAAAATCAAGGAAGTGAAGTACCTGCGCTACCAATCTATAATGGGAGCCACGCTACCAGTTTCTTTGCACTCTGAGCTGCGGCGCATGCCCAATGCAACTTTAAAGGGCATCCGTGGCGTCCACCCAAACGTTGCGTTTATCTTTCCGCCCTCTTTCTTTTTCTGTGTAACACAATTATAAATATGCTGCAATTACGTGTTCTACTCGCTGATCCACAGCCTCCTTCTGAATTTCCTCAATTTTTCGTGCCGTCTTTTGCTGCGTGGCATCGGGCGCTCGCGCGTGCGCAGAATGCTTCTCGGAAAAGGTCCATTAAGTCGCACCAGGCGCATATTTATTTTGGGGAGAAGAAATCCTACTTTCTCATGCCAACAAAAGCTAATCTCTAACATTGTAAACCCTGATGTTTGGGCAGGATGGGAGGAAAAACAAATGCAGAGCTTCTCCCGAGCGTTGTGATGTAAAACACTATAACAATTGAAGAAAAAGTACTTTTTCGCATTTATAGGTACACTAAAAAAAAGCTGCCAACCTGAAACAAGTGATATGCTTGAGTGAACTGGGTAGATCAGTTGTAGAATTATGGTAGTTAATATTTAAAGCGAACTGGGTTTTATTTACTGCGAAATGCGAGCATCCACCCATTCCACAATAAGTGTCTCGCAATTTTGTAACCTTTCGAAAATATGCAAAGGCAAGTCATTTGCATATTGAGGACCTCAGAAGCACCCATCCCCCAATTTTTCGTGATTATCCTCGAATTTTGAGTGAGCGCTTGCTTGAGACTACGGTAAACATTGCAAATATTTTTTTTTATTTGTTTTTTCCTTTCAAAAGTTGAGGATCAATCCAGCAAGTTTATATAGATACATACAACCTTTTGTGCTTAATAATTTACTTCAAAATAAACTGCAGTGTGGGACTGTTTCCAAAACTCTACACTTGCGAAAAATATGTGACGACATAACAAACTGAACAATTACCAGGTTGTCTGTAAAGACCTTCTGAGGAATTGTTTTAATGTCATTTGTCTTGCCGAAACAGCAAGTTTTGATTTGCATATTTTTCCCAATATGTATGGATAAACTTTAAAAGCACGTTAGCCCAACAGCATTACCAAATTGAAAGAAGTATAAGTTTTACTTTTAATAAGAATGAAATGACTCGGGAAATTTTTTAATTGTGCAGCGATTTGCATGTTGGTATTTTTATCGAAACGGCCTTTGTCCTTGTCACAGGAGCCGGGCGCCCAGTACATGAACCCAATTATTCTGTACACTGGTGAGGACGTGCTCACATCTTCAGTGTATGCGGTGACAGTCGAAGGTTTGACCATTGATGCTGCAAGCCTTACACAAGCAGTGTCGTTGTTGATGTGCCTGTTCTGGGCTTTGAACATCAAATACTCTGCTGAAATAAAAAATACACTCACCCTTCTTGAGCATGCCATCGGGGTTTCGCACACAATAATGGGCACAGTTGCATTGCAAGTCTGGAGCTGCTTGTGATTCAAGACCTGCTTTCGTTAATTTATAGTAAAGGCTGTTCATAGTGTACCATCTGTGCAGTGCCTTATAAAGACTTGTTTTTCAGTTGAACATCGTTTTAAACCTAAATTACATTACTTGATGCCATCTGTTTTTAAACGAAAGCCTTCAGATTTAAATTTGTACTGTATATTTTGAAAATAAACAGTGGTGGTTTTTATTGGAACAGGCATCATCATCTGTATTTTTTTTTTAAATTTAGAAAGTTTGCTCATACATTTCCACAAGCATTGATTAAGAAGCATGCTTCACGTTCTCACTTATGTCACACTGAGAGGTATGGGATCACAATAAAAAAAAGTTGCTCTCCTTATGTACAGCATAACTGAAAGCCCGGAAATGCCATCTTGTCACCGGGACCCAGGTGCTGTTCCACTATTAATATTGTTTCGATGAAAAGGTGGTTTGTATAGGAATGAAGATTGTTGCAGAAGGGCTGGACTTCTGCTGCGCGAGTTAGTTGTCCTCCACCTCGTCTTCTCCTAAGCAGTATCTTCATCTTGTAATATTACACCCCTTCAAGGAAGCACGTCTCGTCGTGGAGCTACGAGGTCGATGGCTCGATGTTAAGGTTTGAGATGGAGCACGTGAATGGCATCTTTTTTTTGTGCGACGTCTGTCATATTGTGGGTTCAGGGCTTCAATGGCATACACTGAAAACATATCAGATACGATTCTGTTCAAACGGTAGGTAAAGGCGGATTGGGAGGGGGGGGGGGAAGGCAGGCTTGCAGAATTTCAGACGCCACTTTGACAGGAAGGCACATCCACAGTCACTCGGGAGTTCTCGAGATGTGCCATATTTCGATAGCTCATCAATGAAGCTGGGTTGGCCACGGCTGAAAGCTTGTGCAATGCTTGGAAGCAAATTGTTGGGGTGGAAGAAGCGTTCCAACAAGGCAATGCCACTAGTGCTCACATCCAGCCCATCATCATCGGGCTGGATAAAGATGACACCTCTGAGAGTGACAGGTCTGGTGTGGAGCCTCTGGGTAAAACGTGATGTCTTTCGACTAAGCTTAAAAGAGATACTGAACCGAATTTTGGAACTCGCAAAACAAGGCTGTAGAGATAGGCGGGACGATGCAAAACCCCAAAACATCACTCGTACAGCGATATCTCTAACGTATCGCCATATTTTTAGAAAAGAAGTGCCCGACTGAACCCGGTTGACGAGACCGACAAGACAAGGCACGTCACGATTCAATTCCCCATTCCCTCCTCCTCACTACGTCCCGTTTCGAGCTGGTGAACCGAAGCGAGGCCGCTCCCCCTCCTTCTCAAATTCTCCCGCAGAACGGTGATGTCAGAAGCCTCGCTTGGTCACGCCCTTCTTTTCCAAAAGTGCGGCCATTCCTTTTGAGATATCGATGTACAAGTAATGTCTTGGAGTTCGTAGAGTCCTGTTCAACGCTTCTAGAGCCTTATTTTGCGAAATTCAAAATTCGGTTCAGTATCCCTTTAAAGAGGCAAGCACATACCCTGTACGGCTTCAGTGTCTGGATCTTTGGACCCTACAGGCAACACCCCAGACCACGGAATGGTCCTTTTAAAGAGAGAAGATCAAAAACAACTCGTGGGAGCGCCGAAGAGAGCTCCGAACTCTGTTTTGAAGCATAAATAATTCTGAAAGCCATTCGCTTGACTGACAGGCACTTTGACAAGAAGAGGGCATAACCTGTGGTAACACGTTCCGCCCACCCTCCTAGCCTAAGCACCCTCTGGCTACGTGCCTGTGCCCCCTCAGGTTTGGCCTGCCGCATTTTGCAGTATGTGAAGGTATCCGACCTAAATTTGTCCCGCGGAAACAAATGAAGTGCGGACAGCATCCTCTGGTGTGGAGGTGAAGGGAACATTAATGCAGATGACTGAATTTTATCAGGCCCGCAGAAAATGAGTCGCTGGCAGTCAGCTTCCGAGTGAGTAATTGCAACCAGTCTTCGTCGTTTTTTCTTTCTTTTCCTAAGGTGATGCTACGGCTTGAATATATGTATTGCTTCAAATTTTGTTCAAACTTGGTGACACTCAGGTGGAAACAATTAGAAAGATTCAGCAGGCTTTCGGCGACAATGCCATAGACATTGCACAAATTAACAAGTGGTACTACCGGATCAAAGATGGCCGCACGTCTGTGGAAAGCGACGCACGTTCCGGAAGGCCTTCGACTAGCCGAAATAGCGAGGTGATTAACCAAGTGCAGACTCTTTTTGTGCACGACCGTCACTGCACCGTTAAAAAACCTACAGCTGAGGTGGGAGTATCTTCCAGTTCAGTGCATTCACTTTCGAAGGAGGATTTGGGTCTACGCAGAGTGTCTGTGAAATTCGTGCCGACGTTGCTCACTATGGAGCAAAAGGAACTCTGTCTGGAGGTCTCGCAAGACATGTTGGACTCCATAAATGGTGACTCTAGCTTCCTGAACTCGGTCATCACTGGTGATGAGTCATGAGTTAACGCGTACGATCTGGAAACCAAGATGTAGTCATCACAATGGAGACATTCAACATCCCGGCGTGAAAACAAGCATGACAGGTGCATAGCCACATCAAAGTGATGTTGACCATTTTCTTTGGCTCTCCTGGGGTAATGCATCCCGAGTATGCACTACAAGGTCAAAACATTACCAAAGAGTACTACCTGAACGTATCTTCTGCTAGTACTCTTCACAATGCCGTGCGGCACGAGACACCGGATCTGTGGGTAGCTGGAACACGACAGTGGCACGATGACTGCACAAGCTCGTTCTTTGCATCTGATTGAGTTTCTTGGCCAGACACAGCACGCATCAGGCTCTCTACTTTCCCAACGTCGCTCCTTGTGATTTCTGGCACTTCCCCAAGATAAAAATGCCGACGAAAGGAACCCTTAGTGGGTCACAAGAAGATATAATGCGGAATATGACGGCCCAGCTGAAGTCCATTTCCAAAATGGCGTTTAAAAAATGCTTCAAACAATGGCAGGGCCGCTATGGCAAGTGTCGGTCATCCCTAACGGATGTGGGTGTAATCCCAAGGGGACTAGGATTTCAGTCCTTCCGGCGCGCGCTCCTTTTATCTATATAAAAGATTCCAAGTGTATTTCCAAAAATAAGGCGTTGGCAAACATACAATTGCTATTTGTTTTAGATTTTCGCTTTAGAAAAAGTACTGCTGCAGACGCCAGCAGGTGCGGCGCAGAGAACTATGATCACGGCGTTTTTGATGCTTATATAATTTAGCATGCGTAGGTGAAGGCACGGCCCGAAAGCGCAATTCTGCACTGTCCTCTTGGCGCTCGCGCTCGCGCATAGAACATACATTTGAGAGACACGCGCTTGAGCAGAAACAATTGTAGTAAAAAGAAGAAAACAAACAACGCTTCGGGGGGACCGGTGAAAGCGCTTCGCCAGAATCACCTCCGCCTGCTCAGTGTACTCAACGTTACTTTGCGTGTACTCAACCACCGCTGAAGTCATCCGTATATGTAAAAAGAGAAAAGAAAATGCGTCCGCATGTTCAGAAAGTTTGAATTGCAAAAATTATTTTAGATAATTAATACAACTCATTAAACAGGCTTCTGTATACTTCAAGTGTAGGCTAGCGAGAAAACGAAGCCTACGAAAACGTGACGTGTAGCGACTATTGAAATTTATTTATAACCTGCTGTTCACTTTTGCAGTGGATTACATTAGAGATAAGAGCGCTTTCCTAAGGGCGGTAGGGAAAAATATTATATACGGGTAAATCTTGCACAGTCTTTTTGTATTTATGCAAAATATGACAGTGGTCACCAGCCTAATCGGTTACAAAAAATACAGCAGTATATAAGCTGGTAGTGACGACTTACCGTGTGTATAGGAATGTAAAGTGTCAGTGTCTCATGTTATACCTTGTGCATTTTGTAAACGCGTTCATGTACACAATGCATATGTTACCTCTATGTCGCGAATGTGTGAAGTGTGGTGTGAAATAGGTGTATGTCTGGCGAGGCGCTCAAAGTGACTGCTAGTTTTTTTGTTTTTTGTTACTTTGAGCGCTGTCCGTTAGGTGGCGCTTGTCGCCACCCAATTCAAGGAGTGGCGCGTTTTTATGTCTATTTTTTTTAGGTGAAAAACATCCGTCAAGTGACGCTTGTCGCCGCCCAATTCAAGGAATCGCGCGTTTATGTCTATTTATTTGGGTGAAAAACATGGAGGCATTCCATGGCTCCACGGAGCAGCCTACGGAGGCTTGGGTTCGGCTCTCGGTCTCTCTCTCGTCCCAGTAGGATCAGTCCAACACCTGATCAGTCCCATAGCAAGTTGAACGGGTGTTCCGTGCGCTGTACAGCTCCAAGCGCGTGCACAGACGCGGTGAGGATTACCAGGGACTTGAAAGTGGATAACGAATGCTAACAGGTGAGCAGGAGCGTTAAACGATCGGAACCGACGCCGCTTGAATCGGTGATGCTTCGCATCGCCGCTGTCAACCGAAAACGCCGAATCACTTCCGGCAAGCACAGCAAGCAGATGCTCTGTTAAATAAAGACATCATTCCATTTGTCGCTATAAGATTCCTTCTTTGAATGTTTTCTGGCCGCGAAGCAAATGCAGCCGGCTGCGCGAAAGCAGTCTCGGACAAACCCGCGAATCCCCCACTAAGTGCGGTGCCGGTGCTTCGAGGCGCGTTTTGGAGTGCTTTAGTGCGCACGGAAGACAGCGAACGGGCGCACGCACTTGAGAATCGTATTTTAGAAAAAAAGCAGTCCAGCTCGCTAGGCCTTACTCGGATCGCTCCCCCTTCGCTTGCCAGCCGCCATGTTTCTTTTGGGGGTGCTCACTGTGATTACCTGTTGATTGCGTGCCGTGTGACTGCCCTTGGGGTCGCTAGTATAGCGAGGGGGGGGGGGGGGGGTAGCGATATCTGTGACGGCTTCTTACTACCCCAAAGGTCGTACCCTACGACTATCCTTTTGTTGAGAGTGTAGAATATGAGCTATAGAAT